TTCTCTTGACTGCATTTGCCAATGATGTATATCTAACTGGATATGTGCTAGGTGAGTTATGATTGGTCAGTTTCTCTTGACTGCATTTGCCAATGATGTATATCTAACTGGATATGTGCTAGGTGAGTTGTGATTGGTCAGTTTCTCTTGACTGCATTTGCCAATGATGTATATCTAACTGGATATGTGCTAGGTGAGTTGTGATTGGTCAGTTTCTCTTGACTGCATTTGCCAATGGTGTATATCTAACTGGATATGTGCTAGGTGAGTTGTGATTGGTCAGTTTCTCTTGACTGCATTTGCCAATGATGTATATCTAACTGGATATGTGCTAGGTGAGTTGTGATTGGTCAGTTTCTCTTGACTGCATTTGCCAATGGTGTATATCTAACTGGATATGTGCTAGGTGAGTTGTGATTGGTCAGTTTCTCTTGACTGCATTTGCCAATGATGTATATCTAACTGGATATGTGATAGGTGAGTTGTGCAAAGTAATCTCCCTAAATATGTCTCATATCAGTAACATAGATGAATACTACAAGTTGAAAATATTGTGAATTGTGAGTTTTTATAAAAGACAAAGCCAGTTTTTCCTGCCCAAATTTGTCTGCACTTTTTTCTTATAATTATTCTTCAATATTTCTCATAATGAATCTTAATTTTGGATCAATTTTCAATTTTTACTCAAAAATTTGCCTATTATTCTCCCAATCTTCTGAAGGAAAGTGCAGACTATAAACAGGACTATTTTGTGTATTTGTGATAAAAAAGGGAACTAGTGATGAAATGGTTAATGCCTATATGTTCCATTCTCACAGGCGTTGAATTAGTTGGACCAAGTGCTCGGTTGTTTTGCAGTATGATGATGATGTTATCCTTTTCTCTGGGATATATCGCATTTGCTGGTGTAGCGTATGGCTGCCATGGTAACTGGAGAAATATTCAATTCATTATTGGTGTTGTATTTGTTCTCTTCATTCCTTACATATGGTAGGTAAAGATGTTTTGACAAGAAGTGTATTTTTTTTTCTTCCAAATAAAATGAACTGGTCATTATGATTGATCTTGAGACAAGCTGAAATAAAAACTCCCAATGAGTCAACAATGTAAACAAACCCATGTTTATACTTATATTATGAACCCAACTTGTCTCTGTTTCAAGTGAGATAGTTTTATTACCTCTTTGAAGATCTTTATAAATTATATCATCCAATTAATCCACCAAATCTGTGATGTCACTTCACAAGCTTATATAATATATATCCGTCGATTGAATTTATGAATATTATGAGATTATTATGAGGATACCTCAAAGAATGCATGAAGACAGTACAGCAGGAGTATCGACCGACGCTCAGCTCTCTGAGTGCATACTTTGAGGTATCCTCGTAATAACCTTATTATTATACATCTTTTCTCCTCAAGGATACATCATGGGAATGCTAAAATCCAAAAAGTTTAGAACAGAATCAGCTAACTTCTTTGTGTGGAGTCCAGTCAAACCCTGGTGGCAGCCATGTTTGATTTTTATTATTAGAGAACGCTTGTGCGTGTAATCATTCCATATTTGGAATTCGCATTTCCTTATATGGTAGAATTAAAATACCCCGTAAAATACCGATAATATACGGCACACTGTGACTTATGGCGTTACGGTTACTGATTTATAATAATAGCTGTTAATAAATAATTTATAACATATATAACAAGTGCAAATAACTCGCACCAAACCAGGACGATATGAAATCTAACTCAGGTGCTTTATTGCAAGCTTGTGGTCAGTGTGGTGCAGGCCAACAATTATGCAACAATTATGCAAATCAAGGAAGAACAATTCAGGGAAACTTTAATAAATATATTGACATGAATAATTACTTATTGATTAGGTTACAATTACATGTAATTACTTTTTTATGAAAATAGAATTCAGTGATGGGTTTGTTGAGTCAAGTTTGTTTTTCTCTCAAAACAATGATGGCATAAGGTTGGTGATCAATCAGTTTTCGACTGCTTTGTCCAACTTTCTCCCAACCTGCTGCAGTATTTCTTGCTACCATAGTCGTTGAAGTGCCTTGTGTCAACTTATACAACACACATTTAATACATTGTTTATTTACATGACAATTAAACACACTGTGTGTAGCAACAGATTCTTTAAAATTAGTTTTGTTATTGTCTTTCTTTAATAGGAGCTATCACTTACTGTGATACCTCTGTGTTTTTATAGTCCCTGTTCCAAAGTCCAAAAGTAAAAACTGATAAATCTGATCTTCTGTGTCCATGCGTTTGTCCTTCCAATATCAATTGTGTTTAATGTTGGTACAGATATGAAACATATCGAGTCAATGATACTCATAAGCCTGCCAATATTTTTTTTTTTTAACAAATCCAGTTAAGCGAACTATGTTTCGCCTTCTACTACATATTTAATCTGCTGTTGTAGCTCAGGATACTATAGCTTGAGTTTGAAGTGTTTTTGATGCACTTCACCACAAGTTGGCATTGTGTGTAAATATTCCTTCAGTCTAGAAAATTTTACTTTTACTAATTTTTTATTATTTACAACAATGGAACCTTTCTAAAACAACATAACTTATGTTCACAAACATTTCCAACCATATAGTGTCATAATCTAGTTGAGAAAATTCGAAAAAACAGCTGCATTTTCAGTGAAAAAAAACACAAGCATTTCAAATTATTGCACACACAATTTTTGATGTTTTAGTGTCATAGATTTTTATACCACACATGCTTGTAAAGATAGTGTTTATATTTACAATGGATTCCTAAGGCTCTAATCTGTGAATAGATAAGATTCTGAGAATCAATAATGATTTTAATATTTTTGTACAGTTAGACCTATGGCTAAGGGCACAGTTAGCTAGTGTACAAGTGATAATAAAATAAATGCAATTAATTAACCCATATTTACTATATAGTACCACCATCTTGAATCTGGCTTGAATCTAACCAAATACATTAGATTCTGGTCGGATTCGAGATGATGGCTCTTGTATAGCAAATATTCGTACCGCACTTCCTCAATCGTAAAATTGTGCTTAGTACGGTAGTTTGGTTCCTGAAACCTGGTACTTTTCCCGAATAATTGTGTCCATTGAGACTATCATGAATGGCGTGTGAATGAGTAAACTATTCGTCGACGTGACCTGTTGGCGAACATGAAATTTATTAATCACATTTATTTTATCTCAACTTTACGCAAAACGAAGCCATGGAATAAAGAGCTATGATTGTTATTTTTTACAGGATTATTCCAGAATCTGTGCGGTGGCTGATTCAAAAAAAGCAATATTACAGAGCAGAAATTATTCTACACAAAGCTGCCAAATGCAATAAAGTTAACCTTCAACAAAATATTTTTGACGAAGAGCAAAAATTGGAAGAAGATGATTCAATTGTGTTCAGGGTCAGTATATATTTCACAATATGTAACAACAGATTTTTTTTTTTTTTTTCTTAATGTTTTATTTTTAATTATTTTTTACAACAACAACAACAAGAAAGGTACATCACATTAAAGTGTCACAATAACAAAAGATACAGCGTTACGTACAAAACACAATAAACAAATAATATAAGATGTACAAGAAACTTGATGTGAGTGTTTTGGTAGTACATGTATTATAAACTTCAATACTGTGTATCTCCTGTTGAATACTTCAAATAGAAAACCAATATTAGTTGCCATGCTTCTTGTTCGATTGAATATGCCTCCAATACTTCCAGTTTTTTAGCTCCGCTGTTGACTTTGTCGACCACTCAGATTTGTTCATATTGTGATGATATCTTCAATTATCTGATTTTGATGAATATTTTTGTCATTATTGGTAAAAAGTGATATTTTCAAATTCTTGTTGAAAACAGCAAGTCTGATTGCTTTGATACTATACATATTGTTCATTTTCTAATAATATCTTTTGTTTTTTAATTGAAATGTGCATTGCTAACAGCGGAGCTATCTCAGCCAACAGGCTGCTTGTTCTGAGCTTTCTTTGATTAATAATTCAGTATACCGCAATACCACAACAACTGAAAATTTATTTTGGAAAACTTCATCTTCAGGATAATACTATCCTATAACATCACTTGTATTAACCAGCTAAACGAACAAGGGATATTGTTTGAAAACCTGGTATATTTACTTCTATTATAATATCTTTCAGAGGCATCACACCATGTGTGATCTTTTCAAAACACCCAACCTGAGATGTAGAACATTAAATCTCTGTTTTAATTGGTATGTATATAATTTACTTCGTCACATTTTGTATGGAGTTACCATATAAGAAAATGCAATTAGCATATTAGGAAATAAAATTACAATATTAAGTAATAAAATTATCATATAAGGAAATGAAATTACCATATTAGGAAATATAATTACTATATCAGTCAGGTTAGGTCAAACTGACTTACTATGGGTAAAATGTAACCTCGTGCTACCTGCCTCACAGCCATGTTGTCCAAGCGATTGAGCAATAGGCAACTCACCAACCCGCATTGAACCAGCGTGGTGAGTTACGGTTCAACCCCACGACATAATGAAGCTGTTGTGGAGGCCACCCGCCAGCAGTGGTGTGAAAGACTGAGATGATGATGATGAATTACTATATTAGGAAATATAACTTCTACAAATAAGGTGTGACAAGCTGCATATTTACTTGCAGGATGGCAGTCAGTTTGGTGTACTGGGGGATATCACTGAATACAGATGAACTAGGTTTAAATCCATATTTGTCTTTCCTGATATCCGGTGCTGTTGAAATCCCTGGATACTTGCTTTGCTGGATGCTGTTAGATACAATTGGCCGACGATGGGTGCTATGTAGCTCTATGATACTGGGTGGTGGTTCGCTGATTGCTAGCGGCTGTGTACCTGTAGGTGAGTGTCATGTATCTGTATGCTGGTAAAATAAAAACATGGATGGACTGTGTAACACAAAATGACAATAAATCTGTTACCGTAACGCCATAAGTTACAGCGTGCCGTAATAATTTTCCAGTATTTTACAGGGTATTTTCATCCTACCATATTAGGAAATGCGAATTCCAAATATGGAATGATTACATGCGTAAGCGTCCTCTAATAACAAAAAGCAAACATGGCTACCAGGGTTTGACCGGACTCCACACAAAGAAGTTTGCTGATTCTGTTCTAAACTTTTTGGATTTCGGCATTCCCATGATATGTATCCTTGGAAGGAAAAGATGTATAATAATAAGGTTATTACGAGGATACAGTAAAGTATGTGCTCAGACAGTATGCCGTTGCCTAGACCTCCGCTGCACATCGGTCAATACTCCCACTGCACTGTCTTCGTGCGTACTTTACGGTATCCTCGTAATAACCTCATATTAGATGTAAATATAATGCTGTTTGCTGTTGATTACTAAAACAACATGTTCTATGTTTTCATTGGTTGAGTATACCACATGAATAGTGATTGAAATGTGCTCAATGACATCACACAAACAAGACAACCCAAATTGGTTGTGAATCAGCAACATCTAATGTTATCCCACAAGAAAAGCTTCATCTATGCAACAAACTCTTCAATAGTAGTAGCTTCAAAAAAATTGCAAAAAATTAGTTAGCAAAATATTTGATTTTTTTCGTCACAAACACAATTAGAGCATTTTAATATGTACTTTTGTGCCCAACAGAAGCAATTTCCTGAAGTTGATAAAACAAATAATCAAGTCTAGAAAATTGTGTTGAAATATCAATAAAATAAAATTCATTTTTGATTTTTAAACCAACAAAACGTACCTGGATGTGTGATCTTTAAAGTTCATAAAAGTGATCGATTGTTTTAATTTCTGACATCCAAATTGTTTCTTCTTCAGATATACCGTATTTATCACCGTCATTGGCAATGGCTGGAAAAATGTTTGTCACATCCGCATTTGGTGATATTTATATCTTCTCAGCAGAAATCTTCCCGACATGTGTCAGGTAATTGTTTATACTGTGAAATACTTTATTTTAGCTGGAATTAATTTTCGCTGAAAAAACTTTTTGGGTGTATTGTATGGAGTTTAATTTCACTAATTCTTGATGAGTTGAATGCAAAATATAGAAAAAAAGATATATTCGCTTGATTTTATTTTCATTGAATCATTCCTTTAGCAAAAATAAATTACAAGCGAAAATTAAGTATTTTACAGTAACAAAATAGTAAATCCACACAGATCTTTAGTGTGTTCATCTAAATTACAATTTGTTAATATACAGAAAATGGTAGCAGGTAATCTTAGTGAATTATTTTTTATAACCAAACATTTCGAATAAAGTATCCTTTCTCAATGATAGATATTCATACCTCTCAAAGCAAAGGGTACTTTGTTGAAATATCTGGTTATATTTCATAATTACCAAGGATTATGATTACCTATTACCATATTCTGTATATTGTATTTACGTGTGCTAGCAGCTTTCACCAATTTTAC